ATCAAGCACCACTGACAAAAAAGAAACCATTTTTTAAGAAACCTGTATTTAGTAGATAGACTAAAGCTTTTCTCAATGAGAACACATCATTCTTTCTTGGTTCATGATGGTTGGCCATTTGAAAAGTTTCCTTTTCTCCTGCTGCTACCCCTAAGCTGGAGATGTGAAATAGAGGCTAAAGTAACTAGATTTTTTGCTTGCTTGCTTGCATGCTTTTCTTATTTTATTTACTTTGGGGAGGCTTTTGTTATAGGGCGTGTACGCTCACCAGAAAGACAGAGAAAGAGAGACAGACAGAAAGCGAGAAATCACATCCCCCTCCCCCGGGGATGGCCATGCCGCAGTCCCTTCTCCTCCTTTCTCCTCTTGGGATCTTGGGCACACATGCACACGTGCCCAGCGTGAGTTTTAAGCCACCAGGTCTGGGACTCCAACTGCGGTGGACTACATGGGCGTCCAGCAACATAGCTATTATGCCAACTGCTGGTCCCGAGTTTTTGCTTTCTTTATTAAGCTTACTTATTAGTTTTGACAATGGGAGCTTGTCCTTCCATTGTATCCTTTTAGAGTATTTTTATTAGTTGTGCAACGTCTCCTGGCTTGTGAACATCTTATAGGAAATGCACCACCTGCTGTCCAGTGGAGAGGCTGTCTGAGCCACACGTGCATTGTGGGTAGCCAACTCTACCCCAAGTATTTTCTTTTTAACATCAATCAATATAAAATTTATTAACAAAAGACTTCCCTTTCCTTGTTTTTGAATGAAGTCTTTAAAGTCCAGTATGTATTTGATGCTCTCAGTACGTCTCAGCTTGGCATGGGGCGGGCGCCACCACGCCCATTACGTCTCAGCTTGTACTGGTCCCATTTCAGCGTTCTTCTCCAGGCGAGCCAGAGGCTGCCGTCTGGACCGTAGCAGGGTGTCATCAGAACAACATGTATTTCTTTGTATTTCTCGTTATTTTCTTAGTAAGAGGCTAGAAAAGGTAACCAGACGATTTCTGTGCTTTGTCTTTGAAATGCTATGGTGTTTCTTACTGCTCCACCATGAGACCATCGGCGTATATCCGCTTGCCTAGAACACCAAGTTCGAGGTGCATCACCTGACAGCCCAGCACCTATCAGCTGATGTGCAGATATGCTTAGAAACTCTGATGGTGATGAGATAATAGCTAAGTAATGGATGTAGAGTGTTTCTCAAAAATTGAGGATAATCAGACTTGTCAAATAAGCCACACAAAAGTACACTAAGGAGCTTTGTTATTGTTTTGCTTGTGTGTGTGTATGAGTGTCTCCGTGCTTGTAACCAGAAGAGAAATAAACTTGTATAATTTTAAAAGTCTAGAAAAAAGTGTCATGTCTAAGCTATAAAGAATTGGTTTAAATTTATCTATATTATTGATTGAAGCTCATATTTCATCTCTAGTCTCAATCATTTAGATAAATGTTATAAAGGAATAATTATGAAAAAGCAACTTTTAAATAAGTTGATACTTTAAGGACTTTTGTCCTCAGTGAGCGACAGAAGTAAACTGCACTTTAGTAGTTATCGGTCGTGGTCTTTCTAAATGACTTAGCACGTTTCTTGGAAAAAACGAGAGCATCCAACTTTTCTTAATTATTGATGTGTTACATCATTATATAGATATACTTCTTTTTTTTCTTTTTCTTTTTCTTTTTTTTTTTTTTTTTTTTTTTGAAGTGTGTGGTTGTGGAGAGAGAGAGAGAGAGAGAGAGAAAGAGAGAGAGAGATGGACACATTTCTTAATGTCAACTTTCTTGCGTTCTTTATGTACACCTAACTTGATTATAATTATCAGATCAGCCAGTGTATGCTTGAATTATATTTGGTAACATTTTAAGAATATCGATTTATATTTATAAATGAATTTTGTCTATTAAATAAATAAATGAGGTATATGTTGTATATATTAACTATTTTCAATTTTCCCTATTTCTTAAAACACTTTTTTTCAAAAATAATGATTTAATGTTATTCAACATTATCTTTTTTCAATTTGACCAGAGACAGAGAAGGAGAGAAAATGAGAAAGCAAGCCATCAGGTCCAGGACTTGAACCATAGTTGGCTGTGTGGGAGCCCAGTGTTTCATCCACCATCCTATCTGCCAGACCCCTTAAAATCCATTTATTAAAGGATTTTTAAAATTTCTGCTGGTGAATATGATGAAAAAAACTAATAGAAAAACAGTTAACTAATAATTTATAATTAATCTTTTTAATCTTGTTATTCTGAAATATACTAAATGCTTTGAATATTTATAGTTATTCCTTCAGTGTACTTACATATTTGGAACATAAACACTCATCAAGCACCACTGACAAAAAAGAAACCATTTTTTAAGAAACCTGTATTTAGTAGATAGACTAAAGCTTTTCTCAATGAGAACACATCATTCTTTCTTGGTTCATGATGGTTGGCCATTTGAAAAGTTTCCTTTTCTCCTGCTGCTACCCCTAAGCTGGAGATGTGAAATAGAGGCTAAAGTAACTAGATTTTTTGCTTGCTTGCTTGCATGCTTTTCTTATTTTATTTACTTTGGGGAGGCTTTTGTTATAGGGCGTGTACGCTCACCAGAAAGACAGAGAAAGAGAGACAGACAGAAAGCGAGAAACCACATCCCCCTGCCCCGGGGATGGCCATGCCGCAGTCCCTTCTCCTCCTTTCTCCTCTTGGGATCTTGGGCACACATGCACACGTGCCCAGCGTGAGTTTTAAGCCACCAGGTCTGGGACTCCAACTGCGGTGGACTACATGGGCGTCCAGCAACATAGCTATTATGCCAACTGCTGGTCCCGAGTTTTTGCTTTCTTTATTAAGCTTACTTATTAGTTTTGACAATGGGAGCTTGTCCTTCCATTGTATCCTTTTAGAGTATTTTTATTAGTTGTGCAACGTCTCCTGGCTTGTGAACATCTTATAGGAAATGCACCACCTGCTGTCCAGTGGAGAGGCTGTCTGAGCCACACGTGCATTGTGGGTAGCCAACTCTACCCCAAGTATTTTCTTTTTAACATCAATCAATATAAAATTTATTAACAAAAGACTTCCCTTTCCTTGTTTTTGAATGAAGTCTTTAAAGTCCAGTATGTATTTGATGCTCTCAGTACGTCTCAGCTTGGCATGGGGCGGGCGCCACCACGCCCATTACGTCTCAGCTTGTACTGGTCCCATTTCAGCGTTCTTCTCCAGGCGAGCCAGAGGCTGCCGTCTGGACCGTAGCAGGGTGTCATCAGAACAACATGTATTTCTTTGTATTTCTCGTTATTTTCTTAGTAAGAGGCTAGAAAAGGTAACCAGACGATTTCTGTGCTTTGTCTTTGAAATGCTATGGTGTTTCTTACTGCTCCACCATGAGACCATCGGCGTATATCCGCTTGCCTAGAACACCAAGTCCGAGGTGCATCACCTGACAGCCCAGCACCTATCAGCTGATGTGCAGATATGCTTAGAAACTCTGATGGTGATGAGATAATAGCTAAGTAATGGATGTAGAGTGTTTCTCAAAAATTGAGGATAATCAGACTTGTCAAATAAGCCACACAAAAGTACACTAAGGAGCTTCGTGTCACAAGAATCCCATGGGACGCCTTAATATTTAAAAAATAAAGCTAAGAACTTTGCTTCACATCCTTAGAATTTTCCTGAACAGGTATTTGTGTGAACATATATGCATCTCTTTCCATTTTTCTTCAGGTGGTTTCACTGCAAACTTTTTGGGAAAAAATGCTGATTATAAAATATTTTATAAACATCTCTAGGGTTCTGTACATTAAAGTGCTCTGCATATATTCAAATATCAGAAGAGATTGCTTCACTGATAAGTGTTTTACAAGCATAATTAATGATGACAAAAGCTTGAATTGCAGTTGATTTGAATTGATTCAAGTATTTTAAAGTAGTATAAATGATTGAGGTGATTTGTATAAAATACTGCAGGCATGCCTACTTTATAAAAAGTATAGACGTTCTTGTCATGTGTAATTGACTTTAAGTTTGGTTTAGAGGAAAGCATATATTTATGAGCTGTCTCATGAATTTTTCACATTTTCCAAATTTTGAGGAATGTGACCTAATATTTTGTAATGTAGCTTTTGTGTAGATATTAGCCAATGCGTGTTGTATTCTTTGACTCATGTAAATTTTTATTGACTGCTCCTTGACTTTTGCATTTAAAGTGTTGGCTCAAAATGTTAAACTCTTCTTTAAACAATACCTCAAGTTTCTTGGAAATGATAAATCCATCCATTGATTTTCTAATTTTATTATGTACACAGTCAATTGTAATCCAAGATTACAGCAAACAAGATGTTAATTTCTAGACATAATCTATGTACATTTCAATTACAGAGCATGATTGTTACAGAAGCACAGAATAAAAAGGAATAACATTTGTGCTATCCTCACAGGAGCTGTCAATAAAAGATGTAATAGGGGATTTAGGAATCTGGAAATGGCCAACTAATTTATGTGAGTCTATTTTATTTCAGCTAGAAAGACGGAGCTTTTCTTCCGTCTGCACTGCATATTGCAGAGCACAGGCTGTCTATACAAAACCAGGCGCTGCATATGGATAGTCCCTTGATATCATTCACTTGCTGTGTAATCTTATTATGCAAAGTTCTAATCTTCACCTAGAATGAATGCCTCTGGGTCAGAATATAGTCATATCAGGGTTTTTGAGGTCATGTTTTGTGATCCTTAGCTTATTCTTCTAAGTAGGGCTGGGATTTAAAGGGTATTCCCCAGACACTAGCAGAGATAGACAGCAGAACCTGCTGCCTTTTTGGAAGACAAGACCAACATGAGGTCCCTGGTAGGATTAAACTTGATTTGTAGCTGTAGGATTTTTTAACAGATGTATTATTGGACAGGGAATAGGGGGCCACCAGCACAGCAAAATTGAATCACGACTGGCATTCTCAGGGCGCTTGCTGCCTGCTAAAACAGCAGCTGCATGTGGATTTGACTTCTTTCAGGTGAAGCGACTTCCAGTCATTTGGAAAGGATGGGATGAAAAGGAACCTTGGTGATAATTTTGATGTCTGCAAGATTTAGTACCAGTGTAATGGGATTAGCGGTAACACCTTCACTGCAGAAGAAGCCACCTGGCGTTGTAACTGGCAGCAACTGAGAACTAACCCTTTCCCATCTCTTGGATGTCATTCACGAAGCTCAAAGCGATTTCTGCCCTGCTGACTGCGATTAATTTTATAAACAACAACAACAACAAAAACCAGGTGATCAAGGAAGAGAACATGCTTCTTATTAATCACTTATAATATGTAACCTTACTTTAAACTACATGACAAATTATGCAACACATATAAACTATATACTATGTTTATGGTTTGATTATAGCTTATCATCTATTAAACCATTCAAATGGAAACGTTGATTAATGAAATCTTTTATACTTTTGCTAGTGGAATGATAGTTTCTTGGCTATTGGTAAAGATTCATGCTCGAGATTAAATATTTATTATTTAAGTACTTTTATATTTTTTGGATAGAAGGCCACTATCAAATTAATTAAGTGTCTACAGGTGTAAGGAATGGAAATAATTTGTTTTGTCTTACATTTTATCTGTTTATGAATGCTTCCGTTGCTGCTGTTGAAAAAATTTTGATGAATAAAGCATTCAATAATTTAAACATATGTAGACACCTATTATTGATAATTAGGTAAATGCTAACTCAACCTGCTGATGAAAGGGCTCTTTGTGAAATTGCTTGACCTTAATATGTAAAAGTAATTAATACTAATATTGAATGACTTATTTTTAAATCAGTGATTCTTGGTCAGGTTGACCACTAGCAGGTGGGGATTTATTTGTCTACTCTAGAATTAATGTATTTTATTATTTTAACATTTTATTTCATCTAAAAACTTTATCAAGTACTTTGTTTAGAGGTGTTAATTATTTTAATATTCTTCTCTTACACGATCCAGAATAAACTGAGAGAAAATGAAGTGAAATTATCCCATCACTCACCCAAACAGTATGCAACATAACTGCCAAGGCTAGAAAAGATAATTAGTGTTGTCAGTGTTATGATCCTAAAGTACTTCATTTAAAAATATTTATTCATAGAACTTGATTTTTATCTTACCGTGTTTTTTATTTAGAAGCTTTATCTTTAAAAAAAAATAGATTATAAGCCTTCAGTCTACATGTTTTTAAACTTTGTAATTTTAACAAAATGTAAGTGATTAAAATATTTCTTGAAATTATAAAAATAATTAAAATATAATCCATGTTACTCATGACATATTAATGCACTTATAACCTACGTTTACTTAGAGTACCTTCTAGTCGCTACATGAAAATGTTAGAAGAAAAATCAGCAAATAAAATATAGTAAATTTATATAGAGTTCTTTTGTCAAATCCTTTCAATAAACTTACTTTTCTAAAGTGGGTTTAGTTTAACTTGTTTCCTACTATTCTATTCCAAAATGTGTTTTTTCATTTTTACCACATTTTGAATGAATGAATGAGAAAGCTTAGCAGTATTCCCACTAAGCTGCATTATGAAAATTGCATTGTGTAAACTGCATTATGTTAGCATATAAAGACCTTCTTCTGCCTTTTATTTGTACTTTCACTGTTTGAAAAATTGTTTGAAATGCTATAATTATGATGAAAATTGCAGTCCATAAAATAAATGAACAGAAATACTTTTATTATTTTACATCTTTGTTTGGTTTATGTGTAACTTCATATTATTTTGCCAGGTAATTTATTATCTCAAGGTAACTGTCTATGATAGTTAATTATATCATTTTAATAAAAACTTTCCTTTTAGAACATAATTCATATGGAAGCTTTTATTAAATGTCAGTATTTACTTTCTATTTTTTATTCATCTGAATAGCTTTTGAGAAATAGTATATTTTCCTTCTCTATCCTAAAGCTCATTCTTACTTGAATAGAAATGATCATTTCCTTTGGAAAGTCCCCCTAAATTTATCTTAATTAAATTCAGCATAAACATATGTCATCTCCTCAGTGGTATATATTCCTTTTTTATAGATATAGGGTGAATTTAATACTATATTGGTAACATATAAGAAATTGGGCTGGTTTGGAATAGCTAGATGCTAATTTAATTTGTAACACACCAGACTCATAATGATGTCAGTAAGAATTAGGGAGGGGCCCAGCAGGTGGCGTGGTGGTTAAGGCTCTGGAATCCCACATGGCAAACCATGGTTTGATCCTGAACCTGGTGACTTGCTTTCCCACTTTCCCTCTCTCTATCTCTGGTGCGTATAGCAAATTAGAAAATAATAATAATAAAAAAATAAATCTTTTGAAAAAGAATTAGTGGGCCAGCAGATGGCATGATGGTTACGTTGTTGGACTCCCACATGACTGACTGTGATTTGGGTCCCAGGCTCGAAACTCATGCTGGGTGTGTGCATGTGTGTGTGCCTGTTATCCTGAGAAGAGAATGGAGAAGAAGGGATTGCAGCATGACCATCCTCCCTGGGGGTGTGATTTCTTGCTTTCTTTCTCCTTGTCTCTCTGGTGAACACATGTGCTCTATAGCAAAAATCTGTTTCTTAAGAAAATTTAGAGAGTCATTTTTGGAGATAAGAGAATGGGAGGTAGGGTTAGAGAAATGAGGGGAAAAATGTAAAGAATAGTTAAGTCAGATATAACAAAAGAGCAAGTTAGAAATCACAGGAATTTTTGGTTATTTAAGAGGTGATGAACTTTCTCTCTTTCTAGTGGTTTAAGAGACTTAGACTCTCTCCAGAGAGCAGGGTGTGAGCCGCAGACTGGCGAGGCGATGAGTAGCCTGTGAATGTAAACCTTATCTCTTCATTTGACTTGATACCCTACCACCATTGCTCACTAACTGCTGCTGTTCCGGAATAAATGGGTCATAGAGAACTTGAGGAATTACCAGCCGAGGAATGGGGTTAGTTTTGATATTTCACTGTTTAGAGGCTGGTACTTAATTGTATTAAAATACTGCTTATGCTTTTAAACGTAAAGCGAGTTTTGACTTTGTATATATAAAAAAATGAATGCAAGAAAAAATTGTATTCATGAAATACATTAAAATGTTCACAGTATAAAGCTCATTTGATGATGAAAATTTATAGAATTATTCCAGTTAATATTCAGTTTAAAAATTATGAATGGCTAAATTTTTTCCAGTTTCTGAGAATGCTGAGTCTCAGTGGTCTCATTGTCACACAGCTGTCTGATGGCCTTCCTGGAAGTATGTGGCCTCACAAGTAGAGCTTCTTACTAGTTAGCTCCATGATGGGAGCTTGGAATTTAGATTGAGAATTTTAGTTGATATTAGGTTATTTTATTGCTGGAGTTGAATTTAAAGCAATTTTCACTGTTTCAAACCTTAAAGTGATGGCAGTTATATCCTCTGGGAATGAAATAAAATAAAAAGGTTTAAATGAAATTTTTTAGATTGTAGGCATGAATTTACTGTTCTAAAAAGTAGAAAATACCCTCTGCACGAGTCTTACAGTAGATTTAACATTTATAGATTTGAGCAGTGCATGAGCGGCCCTGAAGATGATTTCAGAATGGCAGAAATCTGGTTTGCTTTGATGGGGAGGCTGATGAGGAGAGCGAGTTATGGAGCTCATGAGCAGAGCACCCACTCAGCTCCCCTGTCTTACTGAGTCCCTGTGGTTCTGTAGTTGCCACAATAACTCCCATTAAGGGTCTAAAATGGACATGTATCTTTCAGTTTCTTTATATGCATCACTCTGAAAGGAAGTGTATTTTGTGTAAGGATGCTTAAATTTGAAAATCACAAAGGTCTCAGAGATGTCAAAATGAAGGTAAATGTTGCTAACTTTGTTGCTGAGATTTGTCTTCTGCTTCCCCATCTACCAATTTCTTATCAACCTCCTCTTAGTGTGAACAGTTCTTTAATACTCCTTTATTCTCTAACTCTGGTCTGTTATCAGAACAAAAAAATATGTTTACTATTAATCACTTCCCTGATTGGCTGCTTATACTTCAGAATGGATGGGATTCTGTGAACTAGGGGCCTCAGTTAACATTTGACACATTACATTCCCCTCCTATTTCTGAAGCAAAATGCATTGTCTTCTTTTCAAATCATCTCAATTGATGCCAAAAAATAAAATAATTGTTAACATTCGACACCTATTCATAAACTTAGGAATAGAAGGGGGCTTTTTAAAACTGATAGAGGTTACCTAAAAAAACAAACAACAAATTAATAACAACAAAACCATAGAGACCACACTATATTTGATGGTAAAATAATGATAGCATTAGCCAGTTCATCAAAAAAGGCACAAAAATTGAAGACGGTAAAGTTAAAAGATCATCATTAATGACAGTTCTGTATAGAAAAAGAATATATATGTCAATTAGCAATATTTCTTGAATAAGAGCAGCAAAAAAATCACTGGTCAGCAAAATTAACTGACTTTCTAAATATTAGCAACAAACTATTCTAAAATAAAAAAATTTAAATATATATGACAGTACCGAAAAACATCAACTACTTAAGACAAAATCTAATGAAATCTGTGTAAACCTTACAAGACAGTAAAAGTAAAGACCAAACAAATGGGAAGGTATACTACATCTGTGAATCAGAGAATTTTATAGAGTTGTCAGTTCTCACTCACTCAAATGGCCTATAGGTTAAGTAAAATCATTATCCGAATTCCAAAAGTGGGCATTTTATTTTCAGCAGAAATTGGCAAAACTGATTGTAAAATGATTGCAGAAGACCTAGAGTAGCCACACACATATATATGTATTTAAAGAATTATTTTATTTATTTATTTATTTAAATTTGACCAGAGAGGGACAGAGGGAGAGAAAACCTCCAGGTCTGGGACTTGAACCATAGTTGCCATGTGGGAGTCCAGTGCCCTTAACCACCACACCACCTACTGGCCCCACCAGGCACATATTCAGAACAAAATTGAAGGAAGTTACTAGTTATTAAAATTCAAGATCATCTGGGATTGATTTTAAAATAAAATGTTAACTTTAAATTCTTGGAATAAACCTCATTTGGTCATGATGTATTATGTTTTGTGTACATCATTAGATTCAATTTGGTGATTTTTATGTGGGATTTCTGTGTTTGTTGATAGCAGATATTGTTTTGTCATTTTCCTTTCTGTTCTTTGTCAAGTTTATTATCCGGATTATGCTGGTCACATAAAACCAAACGGAAATATACTTTCATTTTCTTTTCACTGAAAGGGTTTCATAGATGAGGTTGTTTCTTCCATAGATGTTTGGAAGAACTTATGAGGGATGTCATTTTGTGCCTTGAATTTTTTTGTGGGGAAGTATTTTTAATCAATCACAGGTCAAAGTTCTTAAATAAATTATAGGATTATTCATATTTTAAATATTTTTATTGGTAAGTTGTGTCAATTTAATTTTAATTTCATTTAAAATGTCAGACTTAATAGGTTGACTTTTAAAACTACTGTTCTTTCATTGTCTTTCTATAAATAAAAGATCTCCATTTAGACTCCTTTTTCATCTTGATACCAATAATTCAGGTACTTTCTCTGTTCTTTCCATTGGTCAAACATGCTAGGGAATGTCAGCTTTATTGTTCTCCACAGTGGCTGGACCAATTTAGATTCCCACCAGCAGTGTAGGAGAGTTCCCCTTTCACTGCACCCTTGCCAGCACTTACCATTTTTTTTTTTTTTAATCTTAGTCATTCTGATTGGGGTTAGGTGGTATCTCATTGTGGTTTTGATCTGCATCTCCCTTATAATGAATGTTGAACATTTTTTCATATGCCTTTTGGCTATTCATATGTCTTCCTTGGAGAGTGATTTTTCCAACTCATTCTCCTATCTTTTGATAGGGTTGATCATCTTTTTTCAGGACAGCTGCTTGAGTTCCTTGTGTATTTTGGTTATCAGTCCCTTATCTGATGCATAGTTTACAAAAATATTTTCCCATTGTGAGGGCTGTCGATTCACACTTGATTAGATTTATTCCTAGGTATTCTTAAACTTTTTGTGGCTGTGCTAAATGGAATTACTTTTTTCAGTTATATCTCAGTCTGCCTTGTGTTCATATATTATAATGTAAGTTCTTGGACCCCGTCTTTTACCACATGGGTCATGTTGACAAAATTACTCTTCTTAGGCTACTTTTTCTTATCTACATTTTGACTATGGTAATAATATCTACCTTACAGAGGTATTTTAGGTAAGGCCTTATATACAGTAAGTATTGAGCAGATGTTACATATATATATATATATGTTTTTTTTTTTTCAGAGATTTTTACTATAGAGTGTGTTTGCTTGCTGGAGAGACAGAGAGAAAGCAATAGATCACCCCTCGGGAGAGGGCCATGCCGCAGTACCCTCTCCTCCATTCTCCTCTTGGGATTTTGGGCACGCACGCACCTGTGCCTGGCGTGAGTTTTAAGCCGCCAGGCCTGGGACTCAAACTGCGGTCGACTACATGGGAGTCAAGCAATGTAACCATTATGCTATCTGCTGGTCCCAGATGTTACATATTTTTATTAACATTGATGTAAATGTAACCTGAGAAGAGTGTATAGTAGCCCAAGTAGACTTAGGCCATTAGCTGAGAAATGTTTGAACTGTACTCATAGCAGATGTAATAGAAAGGAAGGGGCAAATACTAGGGACAGTTTAGATGAGTAACACTAATCATTTTAATTTATATAGCTTTTTAAATGAAAAATCCTTGTTCGGTTCTTTACCCTGTTTCATAGTATTCATTGTTGCCTATATAACTAATAGCTGGCCCGGCCATGGCGGTGCAGCAGTCATGTCACATTGTGCATGGTTGGAAGGCATGTGGAAGATGGGGTTTGGGGCTGGGTGGGACACATCGGGTGCACATGGTGGTGCCGGTGACCCTGGCTGGCTGAAAGGCTGAGGGGGTTGTAGGATGAGATCCTGTTTAGGGTGCTTGTCTTTCTCTGTCTCTGTCTCTCATGAAAGAAGTAAATGTTTAAAAAGTAGCTGACAACTGAATGTAACAGAATTTATAAAGTATTTTGATATAAGATTGTTGAATATGATTCTCAGACCCATTCTGTGAGGTTATTTTCATTTTATTAAGTCCCAGAAAGTTTAAATAATTCACAGAAGATCACACAGTAAGTGTGATCAAAGAACCAATTTAAAATTTAAATTTCTGTTCTCCTAGTGGTTTTCCAATTATATCTATTACTTGACAAGGACTGATGTAGCAAAGAAACATATGACAGACTATTAGTACTTTGAAAGAGTTAATATCTTAAGTATCTTCCTTATTACTACCAGGAAAAAAATTGAGACATGGAAGTAGACCGGCTGTTCATTGTTTACTGTTTACACCTGATTTATGTAGAAACCTCATGATACTACAATATGATCTCTGGTAGACCAAAATATCTGGTGGCTATAATTTGTCATTTAAAATATCTTCAGGAGAAATGAAAATAAACCCTCAAATACCTGCACCAAACCACATTAAGCATTGAGTACTCTTTGGATTATGGTAAGACATTTTACATTGAAACTGTTTTGTAAGTGTATAAATAGTATTACTCATGAAACTTTTTGAAATTTATCATCAGGCCAAATGGTGGCAGAGCCTACATAGAACTATGCTTCGTGGTGTTCTGGGAAAAACCCTTCGACTTGTTGGCTATACCATTCAGTATGGCTGTATAGCTCACTGTGCTTTTGAATATGTTGGTGGTGTTGTCATGGTAAGTTTTTATGTTCAAGGATATTAATTTATTTAATGTGTTTTAGTAAATTATAGTGAAGAGAAATGTTATTTTTTAAAAATTATTTTATTTCACTTTATTTATTATTATTATTATTTGTTTTAATTTGACCAGAAAGAGAGAAAGTGAGGAAAGTAAGCTGCCAGATCCGAGACTTGAACCACGGTCAGCCCTGTGGGAGTCCAGCGTCTTTAACTACCACGCCACCTGCTGGCCCGAGAAAATGTTATTAATGAATAAAATGTCAAAGTTAAAATCTTTCTAAATATTAGGATTTAATAGTGTGTTTGAATTTGCACTGATACAAAATTTAAGATTTAAATGACTTGTTCTGAGCCCCAAGTTAGTAGATAACAGGGAATTTCAACTCAAGATTTGTTCCACTTTTAGAACTCCTACTTGTAATTTTCATGCTTAACTGTCATTAAAACAAATGATTGTTCTAATGTCAATATCAATATTAAAGCTGCCCATTTAAAGCCAATGCTTTTTTAAAATATTGCATCGTGACTTTGCCAATCAAGCATGTTTGAATATTTTGTCATGTAAATAAAAGAATAAGTTGAACATACAACCTCAAGTTGAGTTAGAAAGCTGTAAATAAATATATTTAAATGAAATTCCTCTTTTTGATTATTGAAACTTATTTTGGTACTTTCAGAGAGAGCACACACAAACTTTTATTGTATTCTTTTTATTTCTGTCAGAGTAGAAAGTTTTGAGTAAAAAGTTTTATTTACAAATAAATAGACTAAAATGGAGACTGATGTATTTATATTTTTAACTGGCAATGATTATTCCACTTTCAAAGCATATGTCAATATTATTATTAAGACATGCCAGATTTTTGAATGAAAGTCTATAAAGTATGTCTCCTCATGCCAGCATGTTCTCATTAGAAAATGTCAGCTGCAGCCTATCAAATGTGTAGACTATTCTCTTAGAAGAGGAAGAAGATCATCAGTTCATTCAGAATAGTATAATGGCACTTAAATTGCCATCATGAGCATGGGGTTCTGTCTGACATAACAACCAAACGAATATCTCATTCATTCAGCAGAGGTTTTGAGTATCAATTTTATGGCAGACGTTCTTGGCCTCAATGTATAGCTGGAATGTGAAGGACCAGATTCCTGCCCTGACCAGGCCATACATTTTACAGAGTGGCCAAAATTTGGAAATGCAGATAATGTTATTTTACGTATGTACTGTAACATACAATCAATAAATCAGGTATAATACATGGTGTTTTCAGACTTGGTGGTTGTTGTAGACTTGAACTTATCTGGGAACTGCCAGCTTACTACGGGCCATCGCTCAATCTTGAAGAACAATTTCTTTTAAGCCTACTCATTTAAAGAGATCTTGAACTTAAATTGCACAATTATCTCTCTTTGCAGTGTTCTGGACCATCAATGGAGCCTACAATTCAAAATTCAGATATTGTCTTTGCAGAAAATCTTAGTCGGCATTTTTATGGTATCCAAAGGTAAATTTCTATCATGAATTTATTAAATTTACACTGGAAATACATACCTGAAAGCATTTCTTAACTTTAGAAACTTATAAATGACCAAACTAACACTTAACGAGATAAAATTTTGAGTCAAATACTTGCTGTCATTCTGAGAAATTTTAATAGTTTCTCTAAACATCTTAAGTCCTTTGGTTGGATAATCATGTATCTTAACTAGTTGTCCAGAATGTTCACCACTCCCTTTTTGTAGTATATACAAAAGCCTACTTTACTTTTTTATCGAGCCCTAGAATGTTTGAGTCAAAAACTAGGGACCTAGGGACTGTAGTGCATATTCAAATCAATGTTTTGGTTTTTAAATTTGAAAAAAATAATCCTTTAAATTCTGCTGATGGTTTTCTTAGTCTCTCTTTTAGACTTTGACCATTTGATGAGTTTTAGATGACAGCATTTTATATACCAATAGTTGAGGACCAGGAATTTTATGTGTTTGGGAAATGTCGTTTTTCACTTGGCCTTTTAATACCATATTCCAAAGGATGGTTCCAATCCTTGTGATACTGTTTAATTCTAGTTTAATTCCTCAAATATAATTCCTTCTGAGTGGATATTAAGTGTTAGTAATTTAATGTATTTTCTAAAGGTTACCTCTCCAATGTTCTAACATTTTGAGCCCATTCATTTTATATAATTCTGAAAAAAATTAATTTGCGCCAACTTTGGTCTCAGTAAACTACTGATTTGATTCCTTCAGCTTCTGGCATAGGACGTAGGTGTAGTCATCTCCCTTTACTGCTCACAGTTGCTGAAGTTTGTTTTATATTGTTGAAAAATGGTCAAGAATAGTGTAAAACTGTTCTTCACATTTACTCATCTTTCACTAGCTTTAGATTCTGCAGATAGAATCTTTCGGTCAAGTTGGGTGGTAGACTCTAGATAATAATTCTTCATATCTCTTACCTATATGAACTTCAAGATACTTAAAATGAAACTTGTATAACAGGTTGTGTTCAGCTCCTTTTTCTTTTTAATTTATATCAAAATAATCTAGTAGGGCCTTTACCTTAACTGGAGACCTGCTTCCCCGTAGCAAGAAGACGGGCTTCTGTGTTCCATGCCAGTGACGGGGGTTATGCCCTCATGGCCCACGCTGTCCCTATCACAGAGCTACATTTGTTAGTTAAATGGTTTTTGAATGAACAGCTCCATATTGTCTTTTTAAAATACTCTCTTCATTTAGATGAGTAGTACAAATAACTACATACAGTAAGTTAATTAGGATTCTTTGAAGATTTTATTTTGTTCTCTATTCATCCCAGGAGCCCTTTCGATTGCAGGGTAGCTCAAAAGCTGGTGTATACACGAGACATTCCAATGTAACTTTTACAGGCAAATAGGACAGTTGGTAACTTCTTTAAAAGTATTATCATCCTGAGTGTTCTCTTTCTCTTTATCTGCGGCACAGAACTGTAAGATCTCAGGGGACCACAGAGGCCCCACGGCTGATGCAGAATAGCCTTCCATGTAGACGAGAATGAACTTTTGCAAACCTGGTATCTAAAGCACTTGGGCCTCTCTTCGGTGAACTGCACACAATACTCATGCATGAGATACAGTCTCTTTTTACTACTTACCCTTTCAACCAGTAGTTAGCTCCTATTACATGGTGTACATCGTAGAGAATGTTAAGATGATTGTGATATAGATACTTCTTTTCAAAAGCTAGAAAGGACAGTTTAAGTCATAGTTCTATTAAGTTTCTTTTAAACTTTTATTTGGAAGAATTGAGAGTTCCACAGATACATATTTTGATATAAGCATGCATGCGACTACCAAAAATATAGTCGGCACCAATATTACTTTCTGTAAAAACAGCTGGACTGAGTAACTATTTTCTCTTTTGCCATTTCAGTCCAGAGTTTGTTTTAATGGTCATACTGATAATTTGACCGAAAAACTCTCGTGGAAGAGAATTTCTTCTTCCAGAGGTACCCAAATCAACTTTGATAAGGGTGTTACAATTTTGCAAACTAATTTATCTAAACAGTTTCACTGACATGGTTCATTTGGTTGAAAACAGAACAGGTTTAATACTATTCCTACATTTTCTGTAAAATGTCTGTGGAAGATGGTGTCCTTTATTCCTTTACATAAGAATCCCTATGAATTCTTTGATTTATTATTAGGGAAAATTGTTATTTCACTTTCCAAACTAAACTTTATTTTGTAAATTAATGATTATCATGTAATCTTCATTTCTTTTGACTTGACTACTAAAAATTTTAAGACTCATTTTAATACTTCTATAAAGCAGGAGTTAGATTTTTTATGTGACCATCATCTTATTTTTATTTTTATGGCTTTTTATGTTATTTTGACATATGAATCTTTTGTAATAAGTAACATTAAATTATTATGGGGACTATATATAATAAGGAAGTTTATTTACTTTTTTTATATGTATTTTTAGTTTTGTTATATGGTGTGTACACTTGCTGGAGAGAAATGAGGTGGGGAAGGGAAAGTGAAAAATCGCCCCCTAGGGTGGATGGCCATGGTGCGATCCATTTTCCTCTATTCTTCTCTCAGGGTTTGGGGTACACACATACATGCATCTGGTGTGTTTTTTGTTTGTTTGTTTTTTTAGGTTTTTGCCATAGGGCGTGTACACTTGCTGGAGAGAGACAGAGAAAGACAGAGAGGGGGAAACTGAGAAATCATCCCTCAGGAGGGATGGCCACACCACAATCCCTTTTCCTCCATTCTCTTCTCTTGGGATTTTGGGTATGCAGGCACACATGCCCAGTGCGTTTCAAGCCACTGGGTCTAGGACTCGAACTATGGTCTGACATGTGGGAGTCCAGCACCTTAACCACCATGCCACCTACTGGCTCCCTACCTGCTGTAAATGAGAAAACATTCCCGCAGAGGGATGGCCACACTACAATCCCTTCTCCTCCATTCTCCTCTTGAGATTTAGGCATGCATATACACACAAGCTCCTGGCATGAGTTTCAAGCCATTAGGTCTGGGACTCGAACTGCAGTTGGTTATGTGGGAGTCCAGTTCCTTAGCCATCATGCCACTTGCTGGTCCCTTCTTTTCCACTTTTTAAGATCCTTCTATTCCTCTCTTACCATGTAGATTGTCATTTCTTCCATAAATAATGCCTTCCATGTGTAATCAGACCATAGTGATTTTATATGCTTGAAACCTCAGTTTGAGCAGCTTTTAATGTTTTATTTTGTTGTGACTTTTGATTTGTTTTCTCTCAAATGTAAGTCCCTTGGATGATACAATAAGTATTTGGGTTATATAACTTGCATGCTATTTGTTATTCTTCCATTCTGTAAGGTCTAAGGACGTGGAGATGATGTTTCTACTTTTTAATGTGCTATGGTCCAGGCAGTAAAATGTATATAGTTCATTTGGTGGTATTTATATGGAATTGTTTTTTCATAGTTTTTTTTTTGGAGAGGTTATTGCTATAGGGCGTGTGTGCTCGCGAGACAGACAGAGAGATAGAAAGCAAGAAATCACCCCCCAGGGGGGATGGCCACACCGCAATCCCTTCTCCTCCATTCTCCTCTTGGGATCTTGGGCACGCACGCACACGTGCCCGGCGTGAGTTTAAGCCACCGGGTCTGGGACGCGAACCGCAGTCGACTACGTGGGAGTCCGGCGACATAGCCATTACGCTAACTGCTGGTCCCTGGTTCTTAAAATTTGTACACAAGTAACACAGTGGATACAGTACAAAGACACAGTTCTTGTGGAATTACCACAAAGTTTAGAATCTTCTATCATAAGAAATTTTAGATGGAGTTTCTATCACTCTACTGTTTGCAAAGGCTGGTAAATGTACGGAGAGTCAGTATATGAGAGGGAAAAGGCCATGGCTCTGCGTGGGTTCGGGAGAGTGTGAAAGCGGTGCCGCACGTGTGCTCGTGCTCAGTCAGTAATAACACTGACGTTTCTTGCCTTTCCCCCTCAGAGGTGACATCGTGATTGCAAAAAGCCCGAGTGACCCAAAATCAAACATTTGCAAAAGAGTCATTGGTTTGGAAGGAGACAAAATCTACACCACTAGCTCGTCAAATTTCTTTAAAAGCCATAATTATGTAAGTAATGTTTCAATTATATTATTCATTGGTATCATAGTTGATTAGCTAAATACACTGACAAAAGAAAATAACTTATTTATATTTTAAATGTAAAAATGTTTATTTCAGAGATATTTGGCCATTAGATTCCAGATATAATATACAAGTGTGTGTATACACACATACACACACACAGAGTAAATATATAATACATAAATGTATACTCCATATGATATAAATATTTCATTTCCTTCAAGTCCTTTATAACACGTCAGAATAATTATTACAGACAAGATTCACCAATGGATGCTAAAGTTATTGGACAAAAGTTTGAGGAAAAATAGCATATTTGTATACTTTCAAAGTATCTCTCTCAAGGCATTTGTTACAAAGGGAAAAACAGTAACTTCACAGAGGACACCATCTTATTAGACTCCACTTTAACACAGTGGTTAAAGTTAACTTGACCAGAAACAAGACATACCAACACAGTGTAGCCCCGGGATTTAAAACCAAAACGTACACATCACTTCTGTTATATTACTGAAAACACAAAAAAAGATGCAGTTTCAGTCTAATTATGAGAAATCATCAGACAAACCCAAACTGAGGGTCTTTGTATAATGTAACCAACAACACTCTGGTTTTCCAAAACGTCGAGGCTAAGGAAAACGAGGAATGACTGAGCAGCTGTGTCCCGCAGAGGGTGAGACAAGGAGACTCGGCATCTAAATGCAACCTGGAATCCTGGCTTGGAAAGTTTTCCACTGACTAGTTAATGGCAGTCTGGCAAAACGAAAGAAAGTCTGTAGTTTAGTTTTCAAAATCCTCTTTCAGTTTTTACAGTAGAAGTCGCATATAGTCACCTTGCCTGTGCCGTAGAAGAAGAGTGGAAG